AATAGCTCCACTACGCACAATTTGGTCGTTGAAGGGAACGCTGCGTTATAAACCTTTACAGTACCACCAGTTTTACGGTACAGTGTTATTTACATACAATCTGGTGGTTAGTCTGCAAATCCAAACATGAAGAAAAGCTGTTCTGGTCAATGTTTCTGCTGCAACATTCATGTGATGTGAAATAACAGCAACACGACGGTTTAAAATACAGTGTTTTCATGAAGCTGCTGTCGGACGGCAGCAATCGGCTTTAAAAGTTCCACAGGAAAGAACCAAACTATTCTACGTAAATAATCAGAGGAGTTGATGGCCATGTAAAGGTCTGCATGTTTTCTTAGTGTCCAAGAACAGCAGCCCAGCTTTAACTCATCAGTCCCGTCTGAATGAGCCTTTATTTCTCCAAACTGAAGTCCATCCAAGTCATCTGCAACAGGTAGGATACTAACTGTTCAAAACTTTTGCACACAGTCCTTTTTGAAATCAGTGGATGCCTCCTTAGGTCAGTCTGTACATGTATGTGTTTGACAGCTGACTGCTCTACGTGCTTGGAATGACAGGAAGTCCACATTTAAAACGATCCCATTTGATTTTTGGTTGAAGTCTGGTTCCGGTTTGGATCGGTGTATTTGCTGAACTCAGCTCCTCCTGTTAAGAGCTGAGAGAAGCAGCCAAGCGGCGTAAAGCTATTCGCACCTTTAACTCCCCCTACGTATATAGAATATATTTAATAAAATAAGGAACCCGGACAGAGTCGCGACCCCGAGTCCGCAGCTGCCTCCTACAACAGAGAGACTAAAAGAGAGACGGAGAGCACGTTTGGATTTTACGGTGCGTGGAGACCCCAAAGGGCCAGGGCAAACTGGAAGCAGAGCAGCAGAGTTGTGCTGACGCTCCTGCAGCTGTGTGGGCAGCGGTGGAGCTCCAGGACACCCCCGGCCCCCCAGTCTGGTTCTTCTCCCCTTCCTTTTATGATCTGTATTCCTCAGTCTTTCCTCCACAGCAGGCCTCCCCTCCGTCTCTTTTTCAGTCTCTGCATTAAAGTGTAGTTCCCCCCCCCCCCCCCCCCCAATCCATCTCAAACCCCTCCCCTTCCCAAAGTCCATCGCCGCACCACCATGTTTGGACTGTACAGTGAAAAAGAGCAGTGGAGCAGGAATCCTTTAAAGCTCAGGCCACAATCGTTCTTTTTTTTTTTCCTCTGCTGTTGTTTCTATGATTTTTGCTCTCGCACATATAAAGTTCTGCTTCGGACGTTTTTCCTCACACACACACCTGACGCTCGTCCACTCACACACCTGTACAAAGCCGTGCTCGGAGGAACAGCCTTGCTCGTTTCTAGTGGTGCCGTGTGGTGGACATGCAGGGGCCGAGGGAGGACAACAGAAAGCGCATGAAGGGAAGAGTGTCGCTGTGTGTGTGTGTGTGTTTAATTATGTGCGTGTAGAGGGGGGGGGGGGGGGTCTTAGTTCAGCTGCCACCGGCGCCGATACTTCTTCTCCTCGTCATCTGCAGGAGAAAAGAAACGAAACGGTGGTTTTAGGAAGCTGTTGGATCCGTTCACAGCTGTGTGCTTCTGCAGCGGAGAAGAAGAAGGGATGCAGAGTACCTTCTCACAGAAGATGGAGGAAAAGAGTTCAGGCTGGAGTGGAAATGTAGCGGAGAAGAAAAGCAGGAAACGACATCAGTGGACGGACACAAAGACAAATAAAATGCCTTTCCAGAAGGTAACAGTGAAGTTTTAACGTTCTTAAACACCTTCTAAGTGGTTCCTGGAGATGAATTTCAGCGCCTCGTCCAGGAGGATGACTGGGATGGAAATCTTTAAGACCACAATCCACTGGGACCAGCGCAGAGGGGTTACCTGGAAGATGAGCTGAGGGGCACAGAACAGCAGTTCAGAAACTCTTCATCATACAACCCAAACACTCGTGAAGCCTCCCTGATGCTCAGAGTTCTCACTGAAGCAGAACAGAGACGAGTCCAGAACTCACCGGCAGAGGCTCGATGTAGAGGATTAGGAAGTGGAGGGACAGAGAGAGGATGATGGCTCCCAGCAGCCAGATGTTGACCCAGGGAGGCATCCTCAGCAGGGACTGGTTCTCAGACAAACTGTTGGAGAGACAAGGGACCCATCAGAACAAGACGACACGGCGTTACTGACAGAAAGCTGCTTCCACCTTAGAAGATGGCTTCCTTTATTCTGCAGCTTACATTAATCCTGAGACAGTTATTCTGTTCTTGGACAACGGGGTCTCGTCCTTTTGATAACCATCTGACGGCTTAATAGTAAACTAGTGTGCATGTGCACTGATGCCTTCCAGAGTCTTGCTACGAGTACCTGGGGGTCCACCTGGACAATAAACTGGACTGGACAGCTAACACCAACGTCCTCTACAAGAAGGGCAGAGTCGCCTTTTTCTTCTGAGGAGACTCCGGTCCTTTAACATCTGTAGGACCATGCTGCAGATGTTTTAACACTCTGGTCTCCAGCGTCTTCTTCTACGCTGTGGTGTGGTGGGGCAGCAGGGTGAAGAAAGCTGATGCCAACAGACTTGATAAACTCGTCAAGAGAGCTGGTTCAGTTCTGGGAGTGGAGCTGCAGTCTCTGACAGGTGTCTGAGCAGAGGATGCTGAGGAACCTGCTCCAGATCCTGAACAACACGTCACCCCCCCCTGCATGACACCCTGGACTCTTACTGCAGCACCTTCAGTCGTGGACTGAGACCGCCGAGGTGCTCCACAGAACACCACAGGAAGTCCTTCAAAACGTTTCAACTCCTCCCCCTTTTCTACACAGGACAATAAAATGAATCCTGAACTACAATAAACTCTTTGATGTTTCTGTTTGCACCAGTTTAGAACTTAATTGTTGGTATTTTTATATCTTGTGTGATTCCTTGTACTTGTTCCTTTGTACCGAGACTCTGGCACAACAATTTCCTGCAGGATCAATAAAGTTCCATCTCGTCTTCTCTTAGTTCCTCTGACATCACGTGAGAGCACAACTGACCTGTTGAGAGCGTTAAACATTTCGATAGTGACCAGCACCGACAGCGCCATGGTTGTGGGGTAGCGGGACTCAAACACGTCACAGTCTACATCCTGGAACATGGGGTTGTCCTCCGTGCACTGCATGAAGTGTCTCTGCAAACAGAGGGACAGATGGGAGTTAGAGTGCACGTGCTGCTCCCTGCCTCTGATCTGGGTTTCGTCCGATGTGGGTCGGCGTTATCCCGGTCCTGTCCACGTGGGACACACCACCCTTTTTTTTATACTTCCCTTCACTGCTGGAGTCGAACACGACAGAGTTTAAACGCAGCAGTCAGGAGGGTTCATATGAAAATATGAGAAGGTCCTCTGAGGACAGGACTGCGCTGACTCAGGAAAAACTACAAGAACTACAAAAAAGAGCATTTCCTGCAGAGACGCAGTGAGTACTGACCGCAGAAGTTTGTTAAAGCTTAAACTGTGTTCTTCTTAAAGAACAGGAGATAAACTAAACAAACGGAACAAAAACTAAACTGAGCAGAACAGCGAAAAGCTAAAACAAACAAAAGCAGCTAAAAGATTAAATGAGCCAGACAGTAACAAAACAGTACATGTTAAAACCAAACAGTAGCTAAAACTAACGCCAGCAACAACAGGAACCAAAAGTTAAATTAGCACAACCATAGTTAACAGCTAAAAATAGCATAATCTTAGCTAAAACGCCAATCTGCCAAAACCCTAGCTAAAAGCTACAGGTAAACAGAAGCTAAGGCTAGATTGTTGCCTAAAGCTAAAATTAGCACGGCGGCAGTAAAAAGCTAAAGGTAGCATTAGAGGACAAAAAAGGAGCAAGTAAGAAGAAATAGACAATGTTGTTAAAGGAACTGAAGAAATCCTCGTTTATTTCTTCGAGGAAAATGTAAATAAATGTAAAAGGTACAAATACTAAAAGCCACAGCACACTTTTTCCAATTAATTTGAACATTTTAAAATACGAACAGCTAATATAGCATGGGAGTGTGCAGAAACCGTTTGTGGAAAAATAACGAGAGAGCGACAAATGCCGGCTCAGCCTTCACAAAACAATTAAACGGAGCTCACCAGCTGATAGAAGGAGACGTGTGGACCCTCTTCATCAAACAGGTACCACCACATCGCCGCGCTCACTGTTCCAAGACCCACATATCCTGTAAGAAAAGAAAAATATACCTCTGACCACCAGGGAAAACAAGTACTATTTAAACCTGCAGACACACCATCGCGTCTGAATGTAGGTGGAGATCTACTCCAAATCTACACTCTTGTTAAAAATGCTGGTTCCCAGTTATCCACCCACTTTAAGATCTGAACATTTGGAGTGCTTCCTTCATACAGTTCTGTTCCTTTTATTTGTTGTCCTGCCGGGGGTGACCTCAACCCAGAGGGGTGGAGATCTGATGACGCATATTGGTCTGAGTACAGGTTTCCAGTTTACTTTAATACTGAGACTTCCATCTTCCTCAGACAGAACAGAACAAAACAAGAAGGTGGTTTGTTGATTTCCATATTCTCCGTAGTGAACTTGGGAGTTTTTATACGAGTTGACGTGCGTGGTGAAAGTCTTCAAAGTTTTAAGAGATTAAACCTCCACGTACAGCACCTTGTAGAAGTACTCATCCTCCTGGAACCTTTCCACATTTTGTTACAACTTCAAAGTATTTTACAAGGATTTGATGGTACATACAAACACAAAGTAGCGCATGATAAAGTAGACCCTCGCTGCTTCGCAGTTCAGTTTTCGCGGACTCGATCTCTCACGGTTTTTCAAAATAAGACTGACCATGACACAATTAGCTGATTGATGGATGAGCTGCACAATCGGCATGTATTGTTCATTTAAAATTAATTGATTTAAATTATTTAGCACATTATAATTATATATATATATATATATATATATTTATAATTCCATATAAAAACTGAAGAATGACGTGTATTTGTACTCTGACAACTGTAAGTAAACCCCAGAGCAACCGAATGCCCTGTCTAAATCCAGCTGATCTGTGAAGGCCTATCGAACAGCATCATGAAGACCAAGGAACACAGCAGACAGATAAGGGATGAAGTTGTTTAGAAGCAAGCGTTCGGCATCTCACAGTTCAGCCCATCATTTACAAATAAAAAAACAACAATAATAATAATAAAAGAGCTCAGCACAACTGGAAAACACAGATCTACCAAGACATGGCCGTCTACCTAACAGCCGGTTCACAGACGCTCTCCATCCAGTCTGACTGAACTTGAGCTTGTTTGCTAATAAAAAAAAATATATAAAAAGCTGGTAGAGCCAAACTTCAAAACACTTACAGCTGACACTGCAACAAAAGGTGATTCTATGAAGTCAGTGGGGTTGAATACAAATACATGCCACAATTTTCAGATTTATCTTTGGAACAAAGTTTTAAACCACAAATTGTTGTCCAAACACTTCCTAATTAAGCACTACTTCAGAGTCAGAGTCAGAGGTACTTTGCGTTGGTTGATCATACAAAATCCCAGAAAACTACTTTGAAGCTCGTGATTGTAACGTGACAAAAGGTTTAGGAGGTATAAATCCTTTTTCAAGACGCTGCACTTCAATGACTTGATGTTCTGAATGAGTTCGGTAATTTCCACTTCCTCCATGTAGATGTTGGGTGATACAGGAGAAGCCACGGCACATCCAGGTTTCTACCTGTAACACCTGTTGTTGGATTTGGAGGATGGAGGAACGGCAAAAGACAAAGGCCCAGGAGGGTAAAGCATTTGGACTGGTGGATCCTCACGACTCAATGAGACTACCTGAATAAATAAAGATAAAAAAATTAATCTGACCAATGAAATTGCCTAAGAGGTCACAGTGGACCAATGAAACGAGGAGGGGAGGTCAATAGAAAGGGAAGGGGAGAACGGTGAGGGGGGTGCACGTGCAGAGCATGTGAGGGGGGACTACCCTGCATGCACAGAGCAACTTTTGCTCCACGGAGCACAAGCTTGCAGCAGGATGGATATGAATATATCGATCAATGACTTCCTGGTAGATTACTGTAATATCTTCAACTGAAGGAGAGACTGAGGACGTGTGACCAAGTTTTTCTGAGCAAGTTCAATTCTGACACTGAAGAAGACTTCAGTGGTTTTAGTGCACAGGAGGATTAAATACAGCAGTCAGTGACTTTTCCTGTAAACTACTGCATTTTTATTTTTTTAACCAGCCATGTTAAAAGCATTGTTAAAAAATAAAATATTTACTGTACTTATTTGTGTATGTTACCGGTACATATTTAATTAAAAGTTTTTAAAAAATCTTTCTGTGTAAATATGAACACCCATGACTTATACACAAGCGCGGCTTATATATATATGGGCAATTATTTTTTAGCGTGCCTGGCTTATATTCAGGTGTGTTCTATAATCTGGAAATTACAGTAAATTGTAAAAAGTCCAGTTGTCTTCATAAAAATAAAAAATGTTCAAAACTGCAAAAGAGAAAGCTGCTTGGTGGAGAGCGCCCTGCTGGGAGCCATTAGTTAGAAGTCATGTTTGGTTTGGTTAAGACAGGAAAACATCTGTGTGGTGATCCCATTCAACGGTGTGAAATGAAACGTTTGCAGCTCAGGTTCCTGTGTTCAGAGCTGAATGGTACCTCCAATGGCGAGGTATCTGAAGAAGAGCCAGCCGGAGATGAGTGGCTCCTTAGGATTGCGCGGAGGTTTGTCCATGATGTCCAAGTCTGGGGGGTTAAAGCCCAGCGCCGTAGCAGGCAGGCCGTCTGTCACCAGATTAACCCACAGCAGCTGGACTGGGATCAGCGCCTCAGGGAGACCCAGGATGGCTGTCAGGAAGATGCTGTGGACAGAGACAGAGAAGGGATGATCCTGGGACATCAGCTGGACTCATGACTCGGTCCATGTGCTGGTTGTGTTTCGCCCTCACCAGACCACTTCCCCCACGTTGGAGGAGATGAGGTATCTGATGAACTGCTTCATATTGTTGTAGATGGCCCGTCCCTCCTCCACTGCAGCCACGATGGTGGAGAAGTTATCATCAGAAAGCACCATCTCAGACGCAGACTTGGCCACGGCTGTACCAGAACCCATGGCAATCCCAATCTCTGCCTTCTTCAGGGCGGGGGCATCATTCACACCGTCTCCTGTCTGGAGCACAGATCAGGAGAATTTTAATTTGACTAGAAACAGGAAGAACTTGAAAATCAAATCAAAAGAATAGAACACAATTTTCTGAGACAAAAAGTACTAGAAACAGGAGACGTGTTGATGTTTTGAACCACTTTGGCTTTGGCTGCCTCAGAGGAGTCGACGGGGGAGAGGGCGGACTCCAGAAACCATCTTATAACCATCAAACTGGTTGGTCCACTATTTGAGTGTACTGCTTGTGGGAATGAGTTTGTTGTGGCTCCCTGGACTGATGAAGTCCTTTGGATGAAGGAGGAAACGTCTCAACAACAAAAAAGAAACCGTCCAGATGACCTGACTGAACTTTGTTGGATTTTCTACCTGGATTATCGAGCGTGAACTTTGATGGAAACAGGCGAAGATTCTGCACACAATTTCAGAAGAAGAGTAAAACTTTCATCTGAATGAACCTCTATGAAGAATTAAAACTATTTATTGTGTTGTGTGGGGAATTAAGTGACAGAAAAATTACAACCATTCAATCAGTGACTGGTGTGAACGCTGCCTGCTGGTTGACTGAAATTTGTAGAAAACGCTGAAACTAAATGGTCAAAGTTAAAAACTAAAATGTGGTTAGAGCAGTCGTCCTCCAATACAAGATTTGGGGGTTCAATTCCACTAACAGTCAAATGCTTAAGTGTCCCTGGGCAAGACACTGAACCCCTCATTGCCTCTGATGTGTGTCCCATCAGAATGTGGTTTAAAAGCACTGATTATTCTTTGTAAAGATCTAGTATAGAGCTGTATGAATGGGTCAATGAGGCACAGATTGTTGTAAAGAGCTTTGAGCGTCTTGATAAGATAGAAAGGTGATAGATAACAGTCTATTTAAAAGTAAAAATGTAAAAATAAAACATTAGCTAAAAGCTAAGAGTTGTATCGTGAGATAAGAATAAAGCAAATATGCTAAAGTAGACTTCAGAGAACAATGGTTTGAAAGAACTGATGCTCCAGTCTTTGGTGAAGGCTGAAACCAAAGCAGCTAGCATGTTAATGGAGCGATAGCTAAATTAGCTCGTGTCTATGGAGTGTTAGCTAGCTTGTTTAAAGAGTGAGATATGCCTCAAACAAGAAGAGGTTTATGAATGATGCTGCATCGCAGTGGAGGCCACTTAAAGAGAACACGACACATGTCACGATCACCAGCCAATCAGGATTGATGTAATGAGATCATGTTTCATAGGAATAAGCAGGAGGGGCGCATCCCATAATGAGCTATTGAAACAAACACTGAATGAGAACTCAACGGTGGAACTTTCAGTAAATAAAATAAAATTCTTCGACAAGTATGGAATTAATATGAACAGTTAAAATACTACAAAATATGCTGAAGTTATTTGATTTAAAAAAAAACATGCAGAAGAAACTATCAACAGGAAAACAGTGCGAGCAGTAGCTGTTAGTCGTGATGAAGATTGTTTTTTAGACACTGCTGAGTCTAGTGAACAAGCCTGTCTGAAGCTACAGACCAAGTTCAACTGACACGGGGGTGTGTGCGTGGAGTATTTCTATCGGGGCAGGGTCTGAAAGCAGCTGTGAGAGGTGGAGCACACCTGACAGGCAAATGTTGATCTTGTTGCTTCTGCCTCCCCCCACATCAAGCCCTCTCTCAGACATGTGTCAGACAGGACGCAGCAGAGCGGCTGACAGCCTCTAATGGTCCTGTCTGAGAGCCGCCTCTCAAACACGCCACGCCCCACTGACCTCTCCTGCAGCCTTGGATCGTTTGTCAAGTAAGCCACAGATTCAGAAAGATGTGCTGCTCTGCAGAAAACACAGGAGCGTTGGATTCTCCTCACCATGGCTGTAATCTCGTCGAACGACTGCAGGTATCCAACGATCTTGGACTTGTGAGCAGGCTCGACTCGAGCAAAGCAGCGTGCGCGCTTCACCGCCTCCCTCTGAGCCTCCGGCAAGAGATCGTCAAACTCGCGGCCCGTGTACGCCTTTCCCGTCACGTCCTCGTCCTCCCCAAAGATGCCGATGCGCCTGCAGATGGCCACGGCCGTGCCTTTGTTGTCTCCAGTGATCATGATCACTCGGATACCGGCCTCGTTGCACAGCTTCACCGAGCCGATCACCTCCTTCCTGGGAGGGTCCAGCATTCCCACACAGCCGACAAATGTGAGCCCCATCTGAAAGGAAAAGCAGCCCAGGCTCAAAGAACAGTCCTGTTTGTGCAACATTTCTGCTAAAATCATAAATATATAAGATACATTGTAACAGCGAATCAGTCCAAGCGATTAGGAGCTGCTTCTTCTTTCAGCTGCTCCTTCTTCAGGGGTCGCCACAGTGAACTAACTCGTACGACGACTTGGTGACTGTTTTTAAGCCGGACTCTCTTCCTGACACAACCACAGCCTCTGTGTGGAGCAGAGAGCTGCCATCCAGGGCGCCTGGGGAGCAGATGGTGGGGGTTAAGTGCCTTGCTCAAGGGCCCAGAGTGGTGCAAATGAGAGTGGAGGCAGGTGTGGGTGCTTCACCTTTCCCACCCATATTTTGATGTCAGTTTGAGGTTTATCGAACCGGCGACCTTCCGATCTCTAACCTCTGCGCCACCACACCCCCAGTCCAAGCAATAAAGAGCAAAAGTGTAAAAAAATTTTTTTTGTCATAACAGAAAACATTTGGCAAAGATTTCAAGTAAATTTTGGGTGCATCTTAAAAAAATGTGGGGGCGGGGTTGCTTTTGCAAAGAGAAGAATGGGAAGTGAAACGTTATATTTGGAGTGCTGGAACAACAGCTAGCTTGATGCTAATGAGCCGTTAGCAGGAGAAAACAGCAAACCTGAGACGATCCAAAGACGGTCACTTCTGATCAGCATCCAACAACAGATTTATTCATTTATGTCGGTCACTTTCTATCGTGCCTAGGGGAGTGGTGGCCTAGAGGTTAGAGAAGGTGGGCCTGTGATTGGAAGGTCGCCGGTTCGACTCCCTGTACAGACAACATCAAAAATGTGGGTGGGAAAGGTGAAACACCCACACCTGCCTCCACCCTCATTTGCCCCACTCTGGGTCCTTAACCCCCACCATCTGCTCTCCCAGGCGCCCTAGATGCAGCTCTCTGCTCCACCCAGAGGGCTGTGGTTGTGTCAGGAAGGACATCCGGCGTAAAAAACAATCGCCTTCACTGTGGCGACCCCTGAAGAAGGGAGCAGCTGAAAGAAAAAATAAAATAACTTTCTAACGTACCTCATACTTTGCAAACTTGCTGGAGTCTTCCAGGTCCATGTGTTCTTTGCGTGGGGGGGTGTCGTGCGTGGCCAGAGCCAGGCAGCGCAGCGTGTCCCTGCCCGTGCCCCACTCCCTGATCTTACACATGAGCTGTTCGCGCAGAGCGGGCGTCATCGTTACCTTCCCTGTTCCCACACGCAGGTACTCACACCTCTCGATGACACTTTCAGGGGCCCCCTGTCAGCACAGGAAGTGGGGGAGAAATCATCCATCTTTGGAGGGGCAGTCAACTTCACACGTCCATACAGTGTCTGTGCACAGCTCTTGAGGTTCTGAGTTCAGCTGCTCCGTCACCTGACCTGCGGCCTCGCATCATCACTCGCTGAGGAAACGAGCTGCTGTCCTTGGATTACAGCTGCACCAAACTTAACCTGAGCATCGCGTCTTTATCTAAAGCAGAACAATGACTGTTCACTGAATCACCCAACGACCCACTTCTCTTCAGCAAACTGAAACTTATTGAAGCCGATAGTTTACATCCGACTTTTCAAAAATAGAAACGTTTATTTTGTGATAGTTCCATTATTCACTCGTGTTTCTGCCTGTTGATGTGTTTTTTTTTAATCGTCTTTTCTTTTATTGATCCTTTCCTGTTACATTTTTCACCATGACCATTTAAAGTCGCAGGAAGATTCATTTTCATAGCCTTACCTTTTATGCTTTTGCGTTAAATGAGCGTTTTGGATGAGCGTATAAACCTTTAGGTCTCGCCTCTCACGGCTCTCTGGTTGGGCTCTGTCAATCAGCTCATTAAGCTTCGCAGGTACTCTTCATTTTTTAATTTAGACACGCGGTTAGCAAAGAAATTACCACAACTGTTCTCTTATGTTTACAGTTTTTACAAAACCTACGTGATCTAAAAATAAGCTTATAATTTTTGGCGATCATGTTTTTGCTCTTTATGTGTGTGTTATGGATTCTCTGTTAGAAAAATCTCATGAACCATTGGACGTGTTTCATTGTCACTCTCAGAAAATAATCTTAGGTTGCACATTTACACATGACTTGATTTTAGAGTTGACATGTTTCAACATGGCTGCCACAGCTAAGCAACACGAGTAAACACAGAAATAGCTACGACTTGAACTGTTTCACATGCACTGAGCTTCAATTTGAAACGGTAAGTGAAGTCATTTACAACATACTCTGAGCACTTAAACTCCAAATCTCACAGCAGCTCTGTTCCTTCTCATCGTAAGACGATCTTTATTTAAAACGTTGGCATAAAAGGCAGCGGGTTAGAAGTATTTTGTCAAGGAATGCAAGCTTGAAAACAATTGTGTTTTCTGGTTCAGCTGTTTAATTTATTTGTTCCTCGTCACTCGCCCTCGAGCAAGACGGATGCTTTTCTTCCCTCTCCTGCTTTTTTGCTCTGTCTTGTGTATCGGAGCTTCTATTTACACATCTTCCGAATCATAAACTACCGTCATGGATCTGGTCAGCTGGACTTTCAACGCAATTGATAATTTTTATTCAACCAAGCGACAGGGTCCTGGAGAGCCCTCATGCCCCGCTGAGACACACGCAGCTGGGTACGTCATGGATCCGTGGGGAGAATGGAAAATGATGTGCCTTTCTGTGTCGTCTAAGGAGGATGTTGAAGATGTTTACATCATTGGATTTATGATATCAGGGTTTCTGCTCTTTGGCACCGTCAGACATCTATGTTAACGGCTATTAAGGAAGACGTCGGCAGCAGGTTCGGCCATGGCAAAGCTGCCGACCTTATGTGAAGGACCAGTTCGTGTTTTGAGCTCTCAGACTCAGCTGATTTACGAGCTCAACTGTAAGATGGAAGCGATTTATGAGAATCATAGACCACCTGCGGCTTCTGGGACTCGCCAGCATGTTGGAGTCGACCTTGGAGGGAGCTAATAAGCACAGATCAGTGGAATGCCCAGAAATCTGGCCATTTTGGATCATGAGAGTACCAGCAGGACTCGGACGATAAGAACAGTCTTGCCTGCACAAAAAACAACTGTGGCTTATCTGAATCTGGCTTCCCCGTTCTGCCTTGAATAGGCCAACTTATAAAATTGCTCCTGGAGATGCGTAAACTAAGAAGGCTCTGCTCTATCCACCCCCCGAGAACTTCTGTGAACGCTTATCAGAGCTGTACCGGCTGACACCAACATATTATCAGGACTATGGGCTATGTGGAAGTGCTTCATGGACAAATCTCACCTTCTTGACGTCAAATGAAGATGCGTCTATAAATGTGCTTGCTGGTCATTTTTTTTGACGTATTAAATCATGTCCTGACAAGGACAAGGTGTGAAGAGATCTTTTTTTAATACCCACTATTCTCATGGCCTTTCCCCTTTTCTATCTAAAGAATAAGGGGCCGTGCTCCTGGGAGCTGCAGCCACGTGCACAACATTCGGTTTGGATGACTGTTCAGAATATAATCTCGCTGTACTTTGGTGCAATGATAATAAAGCGTATTCTGGTTCTGATTCATGAAACAGAGAAGCATTTACTTCTTAAAGTAAAACAGCCAGAAAACATTTTCCATGGGTGGTGAATCTTTTTTATAGAAGCATCATATTTGCTAACAGTTATGATGATGGTAAGATTAAGATTGGGGGGTAAGAACACCAACACAGAAAGCTTTCCAAAGTGCTCAGGGCTTCAGGCTTTCCCTTTACTTTTTAATAGGATACCAGTCCTGAACGGGGGTTCAGGAAATCTGTGTGATAATCCAGACAGATAATCCAGATAATCCATCTGACTTGAGATCATCCGAGTCCAGCAGAGCATCTCTAACAGGACCTCACGATCCGAGCGTCAAGAAAAACAGGAGAAACGTTGGAACTCTTCCAAACTTAAAAGTGCTTTCTAACATTACTTAGAGCTGCTGCAAGAGTCCGCTTGTTTTAACCAAGCGCTAACTGGAAGGACTGAAGATTTCTTTTTATTTTAATCTGAAACAAGTTCATGAAAATTCAAAACCTTCTTTTCTTTGTCCTTGTGGAGAATCACAGGCAAATAATTTTAAAAAAATTAACTCAACCCATTTAAAAAATCCTTAAGAAGCAAAACAAAATGTGGAGACTCCGGTGTTGAAGAGGCTTGTTGGAGAATATAAAAACACGCGGTCTTACCTTGATGAACATTTTGCTCGGGGAACCAGGTTTGACAGCAGTACAGTAAACTGACATGGACTTGCGATCACGAGAAAACTCCAAAGTGAAGTCCTTCTTCATCAGTTGCCTGATCACCTAATGGACAGAAATAATTTTTTTTTTTTAAATGAATAATTGTAAACATACGATTCAAAGTAGATATTGATATTTGTCCGTGCGTAGGCAGCTGGTGGGAGACAGAGGTCAAACTGATCTGGTGACAGCTGAAGAACGACACTTTACATCCGACTCTCAGACATCTTGTTATAATTTATGGCTGCTGCTGCGGAAACAGATGAATTTTGTGGCTTGGCAGAAAAAAAAAATGTGCAGAGAATCAGCAGGAAATGTAAAAAACAAAGCGGATGCTCACCGTAACTCCTTTACCTTCAGCATTAACACTACATTTAATGTTGCGTCTTTTCTTACCAGCAGGGGCCCGTCTAGATCAGGATTTGTGTTGAGAACAGCACACACACATGCACTCACAGGAGGATGAGTTTAACACTGATGGCACAGCTGGAGAACCACAGGTGGTGAGCTCACAACCAGTCAGAGGACTTCAAACACATTAAAGATGGTCTGAAATCTGCCACGGTGGAAAAAGCTCTTCTTGAAAAGGTGGAATTAACGAGAAGTTTGTTTGAGCACAGGTTCTCTCAGTTTCCTGTTTACAACCAGCAAAAATATAACAATAAACAGACGAATATTGAGCAAAAATGCATGTTCTTTATTCTTCTGACTTCTGTTAGAGCAAGGCTCAGCTCATCAGAAACTGCTGGGGATCAGTCGTCATCATCATCAACCGTAGAGTGAGAACTGGGATTTTATAGCGACTTGGCTGAGCTTTTGAAAGAGAAGCCTCTCTGCACTGCATCATCAGTTTATCAACCGTTCACTCCAGGACATCCTCTCATCCACAGCCACCTCAGCTGATGTTTTCACTGCAACACTCTGAGCTACAGCAGCACTGAAGTCTGCTGTTTTACATCCGAGAGGTGCTCTTATTTTTTTGTCACATAAAATAACGAAGTGGAGCAACGTATCGGAGCATTTATCCTCTGGGCGATGCCCCCACACCCTTCTCTGTGAAAACGGCCTGCCCATTTTGACTGGTGGTAAATGCAGCTCCTAAGGTCCTCGTTAATAAAACGGTGCTCATAAGCAGATTACAGAACAGCACCGCTTTGAATTACTGAAAAGCCCAAACATGGAACTTGCCTTATGTCACTGCTGATCAACGAGCAGCAACGTTACAAACAAAAGGCCCACGGTCCATAATACATCTGTCGGTAAACGATCTGAAACCAAATTAAAATCCAAAATATGAACTCCCTCACACAACGGTCCTGAACCCATGTGTCCATTATACATGATATTAGTGGGGTGAAAGGTCTATTTGACCAATAATGACGTTGTCCATGGTGCAAATGGACAAACAGTTCAATTAAAAGGACATGAAACTACAGCTATCAGTGGCAATGTAAACATCTTACCTGTCGATGACTACCAGCAGAGCCACAGCATTCTAGGATCAGACCACTAGACCTCAGCACTCAAGATTTATTAGGTGAACGTGGTCTTGTTAAAAATAAGATCCAAAGTGGAGCCATACAGTAGTCTGAGGACATTTTCTGTCCTAAACATTTACACCATGGACAACTTACTGTCTTGTCTTATGTATGGACAGACGGGGACAATGTGGGGACAAAGGGTTTGACGTTTCCATGTTGCTCAAATGTAAAGCTGGAGCGTAGACAAGGTTGTAACAAAGGGGTCACCAGTGACCTTTTCCTTTGACCCCATGAGCAGGGCACCCCGCCACTAAAGAACCGAGAGTCCTGCCTATTGAACCCCCACCCCCCCACTTTTAATGTTCATCATTAAGAGTGAGAGTTCTGCGATGAGTTCAACTCAAATCTGCTCCTCAGATAATGTTAAATCATTATTTTTATATATGAATGTTTCTGTTCGGCAGGTAATGAACAAATATCTTACCTGTTATAGCATCTTAAAACACCTGCCGTGAAACTGGTATGTTTTTATGTTTCTTTGTGTGTTTTCATTGCCTTAATTAATTTATCTTTTTGTCTTATTGTACAGCACTTTGGCTACCCCTGCGGTTTTTAAAATGTGCTATAGAAATAAAGTTGATTGACTGATTGATTGAAATAAAACAACATATTTTAATATCAAACGTAAACCTCATGTGCTCACCGAGTTGCAAGCCCCGGCACGCTCCACCTTAGTGAGTCCAGACAAGTCCGTCTTGAAGACGTTCATCTTCTCCACCAAGGTGGTGAGAGCAGTTTCTGTGGCCTCCCCCACCTTCTCATAAACCCCTTTAGCCTGGAAGAGAAGACACGATGGTTTACTTTTTATTTTAATGGCGCCTCAGTGGAGAGACATTTGAAGAACACTTGGGACAAACGTTGAACTTTGAGTCACACGTGCAGTGGGTTGAGCCCTGGTCATCTGGAGCGGTTGACATTACGTAGTCACGGGACACCACTTTGTTTGCGTGACCAGCCGTAAACGGTAATGAAACACCTAGTTTCCCTCCGGCATCCTCGTCTTCTGGTTTACCGCTCTCATCCTAGACTATACGCTCTCTTTTTGTTAAAATAAGTGAGTCAAGCTGGTGGTGGAGCAGCTATTTGTGAAATCTTGGAGAGGACAGAAAAAGGCTTTATTCCTGGCCTCTCTGCTCAGCGTGGTTACCATGATAACATGGCAACGACAAAAAGGTGAGAAAAGCAATCCAAGTCCAAGAGAGAGGAGTTAATACATGAGAGTAAAATTAGTTTAGCTGAAGGAGGGAAGGCGGAGTGTCACCAAATGGTGTCTTATTATTGTTTGTGTCTACATATTGTAAAAAAACATTAGCTAAAAAGCTGCTCTTATCACAAGCTTCTTTCTGAAAATAGTTCTAGATCAGATTTCAGGATTTTTCTTCTTCTATTTTTGAGTCTTTTTATCTTTTTAAGTCAAAACTTCAGTAAACTCACAGTAATTTGCTGTTGGTACGGCGGTGCACCTTTAGTTGTGACCCTCGTTTCACCCCAATGGCTTGGCAGCGCATCTTGTGATAATAATCATCTTCTACCACAAAACTTTTTTTTCTTTCTTCCTAAAACACTGATGTATGTTCATTTTATAAAGTATTGTGTTTCACCTAAATAATAAAATACATTTATTATCAGAATTTGACAAATTCCTCTCACGCCAATACGCCCGACTATATTTATTAGGGATGCACGATAGTATTGGCGTGGTATCGGTCGATATTGGCGATAAAGTTAAATATCGGCATTTCATCAAAATAACTCAACGATATAAAAGGCGCCGTTTGTATATATAGCAATATAGATATATAGAAAGATAGATAGATAGAAAGATAGATAGAAAGATAGATAGATAGATAGATGGATATATAGATAGATATATAGATAGATATATATATAGATAGATATATATATAGATATATAGATAGATATATAGATATATAGATATATATATATATAGATAGATAGATAGATAGATAGATAGATAGATAGATAGATAGATAGATAGATAGATAGATAGATAGATAGATAGATAGATATGTGGCGCTGTTTTAGTATGACAACCCAGTGACTAGGAAGCCTGCTGCGCCAGCACAACATTATGACGTCACACGCGACCTTGAGTTTAAATTTATGAAAACTTACAAATGTGTACAATGTGTACAATGTGCACTGTTCAGG